TTTTTTTTTCTTTTTTTTTTGTTGAGAAAGTTCTTCGAATTAAAGAAGAAGAAGAAGAAAAAAACAAAAAAACAGTGCATAAAGCTTTTCAATTTCGGATGGCAGGATCGTCCTTCTCTCTGCGAAAGTCTCGGAAATCAATATGCAAGCGAAGTGAGAAATAGTACGAGGACAAGGTAAAGTAGACTAGGGGCTCGGTGCACAGATTCGAGGTTTTATTCTCCTTGCAAACACGTACGCGTACATGTGTACACAGAATCGTAGTCGGAATCGGTGGGTGTCTCGTATATACAGTCGATTTCGTGCCAAGGGAACGGTGACATTACCATTTAGAAGATCGTCGAACACCGAAGACGCAAAGCAAAAGGTTTTCGTCCGAGGGACACGTTCAAACTCTAATCAACTTCACCTAATGCGTATGTACATTGTGCAACTAGCGTTAATCGCGGACGAATAAGTACAGCGTAACATCTACAAGACCCGAGAGGACAGTTACAAAAATATATATTACACAACCAGTTGGGGAGGGGAACGATCGAATTAGGAGCGAATTTCTTCATTTTTTTTTTTTATTTCTTTTTTCTTTTTCTTTTTTTTTTATTCTCTGCTCTACGATAATCCTCTCTCACGGATCGACGTTGCTCTCGCGGACGAGTTACAACGAAATGGACTCCTGTTTCTACCTTGTTCGACACACACATCCTTAAACAGTGATACAGGGACGAATTCTTTATCCGAAAATAGCCGCGATAATCGTCTGGAAACGAGGGAACGATCTTCGATCCTGAAACGTTGCTGAAATATTCGTGGGATGCTTCAACGACTGAATTCTATTCTCACGATTCGATATATATATATATATATATATTTTTTTTTTATCGAGTCCAATGCTTCTTTGTCTTTGTAGTTTTGCTTGGTCGTTCGGAGAATCGTTTTATTCGACGTATCGAGGAAGTATTCGCGCGGTGCCGTGAGAAGTGTGCAACGACCTCTTCGACTTTTCCGTAAACCTGTCTGCAGGTATCCTGCTTTGGTACCTCGACGGCGATCGCGAATAATCGCTTGAGAATTTCTCCTGACTTTGGTCCGGGACCTCGTAGAACTTTGTTTCGCGGGATCTGCGCGATTTCGTGGCGACGATGCCGCTGGGATCCTTCGAGCCGTGGCTCACGTTGCACCGGCCGCAGAACGTTTGCTCGTAGTTTTCGGGTTCGTCGCCTGAAAGTAGGCATTTACCGTTTTTATCTACTTAAGAACACCGTTCCAAAGAAAAGAGAAAGAGAAGAAAGAAATTATAATAATAAAAGTCAACTAGCAGAAGAATCTTACCAATTGGTCCCTTGATAGGAATACTCGAGCAATCGTCGAATCTACAGGTATTCTTAAAAGGCGGTACGTTCTTGCTGCTGGACAGGCTACCGCAACGATCGCACCTTCTCGTTCTGTTCAACTCTGATTGCTCTATCAGCCGGTCCACATCCGGTTTCGTGCGGGCTCGTCGAGCCGGTTGCATCGACGTCGCGACGTCGTCGTAACGATCAGGTTCGTTCCTCGACGACGACCATTGACGATAGTCCGCAGGTTGCCACCTCAGCGACGTTCGGACGAAATCTTCTTCTGATAAGGGCTCGGGTTCCTCGGGCTTGGTCACGCTGTGGTAATACCTAGCCGCAACTACGTTTCAAAAAACACGATCTACCGTCTCGAGACAAAAGCCTTCGAGTTGTCTGAATCTGATCGATCTTGACTGAAATTTCTGAAACTTTACCTGGAGGCTGGAGAATGATTTTCCAGCGTAGCAACACGTTGCTGGCGACAGAATTTTCGCGTATCCGACTGTTGCTCCGCGCATCTCCAGCGCTGTTGCTTCGACAGTGCTTCCGGTTTGCATCCTCTCTGACTGCGAGAGCTGCGAGTCTGCGGAGACCTGTCAGACTCATCGTCTATTTCGTCGTCCTCGAATCCTTCTTCTTGCTCCTCGTAGTCCTTGTCCAAGAGTTCAGCTAGCACCTCGCGATCGTCCTCTGTCCCAAAGAAAATCCC